ACCGGCCCGGCGCCTGCCTACAGGAAGCCCGAGGCAGAGTTGCTCTGCCCCGGGCTTCCTGGAATCAGCCGCTGATCAGTTTCAGCAGCAGGTGACTTGGGGACGCCTGGGGTTCTTAAGTTGAATCTGTATGTAGGTCGGAACTGGCGTCCAGAATCAGCCTGTTGAAACTGATCAGAGGCTGATTCTAGGAAGCCTGGGGCAGAGCAACTCTGCCTCGGGCTTCCTGTAGTCAGCCGCTGGTCAGTTTCAGCAGCGGCTGAATCTGGATGCCAGTTCCGACTTAAATACAGATTCAACTTAAGAACAAACCTACAGTCCTTATCTTGTACATAACCCGGGGACTGCCTGTAAATATTGAATACAAATATTTTGAATTTTGTCTAAATACATTACATATTTATTTAAAACAACATAACAGAGTCTGTTGTTATGTCCTGGTAAAAAGGTTAGAGTGTGAAGGAGGAGACAGAATCAATGATATTTTATTAATAACGTTATTAAAGTTTGAACTTACCAACCATAACAGAGGTGTAGCTTTGGGCAGGGTCAAATGGGCATCTGCCTTTACCATCTTCATTTTTACCTCCAAGTTCAAATGACATTACATTCTATATAGAATTAATTTTAAGTTAAATAAAGAGAGTTACATTTTTTACTTTCTAATTCAAATAAAACTTCTATGCAGTCAAAGACAGATGTATAAAATATAAAACTGAGTTTTAAGAGCAATATACTGAATTACAAAACAAACAAATCTTTAAGTGATAGAAAAAATGACCCAATGGTTTTTGAGCACAAAGGGGAGGGGAGCATAGGGTAGTGGGAGGGAAGAAAAGGGTTCCAGACAAATGAGGAGGGCCATCTGAACATGATCCCAAATGAAAAGGTGCAGGGAGAGAATTAGTCTGGGGAATGTCCATGCAGAGTTTTGAAAATCAGAGATTTACAGGAAAACAGTGAAACTGTCATATGATGGGTATGGTATGATCCTATTTTTGGAAATGTGGGAATAGTCTGGCTCGAATAGGAACAAAAAAATAAATAAAATAAAATAAAAAAATTTAAAAAATTTTAAAAAAGAGAGAGATAAGAAAAGCCACAGTCCAACATAATTCCTAGATTTCTAGCCTTGGGAACAATGTAAAATCCATGTTAATGGATGCAATAAAGGAGTGAGAGATGTAGAGGACTTTTTATTTCAAATCTAGAAAAAAGGACTTCACTCCGAAGCATTCAGAGATATGAATTTCTGCAATACACAGGAGCTGACAAAGACAAGATAGGCAGAGATGAGAATCTGAGATGGTTTAGGGAGAGATAGAAGTGGGTATCATTCTCAGTGTCAATACAATTTAAAACTATGTATTTCTGCTGTTGCAAATTTACATCAATAGAACGTAATGAAAGCAAAGCTGTAAAGTAAATATGTTTCTGTTAGTAACCAAGCTGGATTAATATTTTGTAAGGCTTTGTATAGGAAGTATGTTACATTTTGATTAATCAGCTAATTGAGTACTCAATGGAATTTCCATCGACTACTCAATTAGTTGATATGGGGGGAGGGGGGCTCACTTGAGTTCACACTCATTTGGGATCCCCGCAGGGAGCAAAGGTAGACACACAGCAGTAGGAGCCCGCGTAAGCAGGGACTTCTTGACTCTCCACTTGCCTCGGGTTCCCCGCCTACTTTGCTTCCCTTGTCTCCCCTTCTCCTCCCCCCCCCCCATGGAGATGGTGCTGGAGGGAACAAGCTTTTAAGCCGGCTCCCTCCAGCACCAACCAGCTCCTGCTCCCCCTCTACTTGCTGTCTCTCATACAGAGGCAGCAAGGTGGGGGGGAGAGCAACTCGTTGAGTAGTGACTTGACTACCTGATAAGGCTATGCTTATTGGGTAGCTGATCAGTCAACTAGTCGCTTATATCCTTACTGGATTCTGTGGTTATCATGAGAAAGTATCACACCCACTGAAAAACTATTACAGGTACTGGAATTTCAATTGCCTTTAAAAACAAAAATTAACTCATCAGATATACTTTTCTCTTATTTGCCTCATTATTTAAATGATCACTTTTGTCTGGTTTAAAAAGTTATTAAAAGAATGCATATAGTCACGCTTACCAGATGATCACAGATTGGCTGAAATGCATTTGTGCCACAAACGTAGAGGACAGTATCATTCAGCGGTTGCAAGACACGCACATAGTTAAGACACTCCGTCTATAGTATAGAAGGAAAAAATAAATCCATTCTGATCAGCCACAACTTCAACATCGTAATAGCAATGCAAGTGACAACAAGCTCTGTTGTCAGCTCTTCCATTGCACCTCATCACACTATCACAAGAAGCACTTCCTATGTTTAAAAAAATATATAAGGCTATGTGATGTGATCACAGAGACCAGAGTCCTCTCTGGGCATTCAGAATTACATTATAGGTATACATTTGTTTCTAATATGTCCATCAATTGCTATGTTTCTAATATGCTCATCATCTCCCAAGTGCTCAAATTTGCTTCAGGAGTAGTATGTTCATATAAAATAGTTAACATATTAATTCTCTTGGATGTTCATATTTTTTCGTCTTAGGTCTAGTTCAGCTAAAATGATATGTCATAGTTTGGAAGTAAAGAATTTAATCTGTGACACAGTAAATGTCATTTTACTTCAGATGATCATTTCCTGGATTTTATGTATATATTGCAACTCTGATGTGGGCAGAAATCTTCATGACCATAAACAGCTCTTAGAGTTGCCATGTCCATAACCTTGGATGTCATGCTTTGAGTTTAGTAGCTTTTATAGCTTCCTCTATCTTCTGGTGCTGGCAGCACTCTCTTTACTCAAAAAATAAAGAAACACCCAATTACAATAATTAATTCCTTTAGCTTTGGAATGAAACTGGAATTTGGGACATAGCTTCAAAAGTCAAGGAAACAATACAGATTCCAAATGCTTGTTAACTCTGAACACACATCTATGTTTATTGACTGAAAAAAGGTACTGAATCAATAACTGCTATCTTGGGATGTATTGTGTGCATCATTTGGCTAGTTCCTGTAGGAACACAGAAAAATACCATGATTGTTCAAAACATGCCTGGACTGGAATAAATAACAATGAATACACAAATAACAGTGAATACACACAGAAAGCCCCAGAGATACTAACAAATGCAGGGAACAAAAAAAAGGGTGACAGCATAAATTAGGCAAATACCCTGAGGTGAATTACACATCGCTAGCCTAAAGTACTCTTTAATTAAGGAACCAAAATAACTTATGTGAATGAGAGTAATATTTCTCTAATGGTTGACAGCAACTCTCAGAGTACTCACAAAAAGCAATCAGGGAGAGCGCAAGGCCCTGGGAATTCTACTACAGTTCTAAAGCAAATAAAATAAATGAAATAACTTTGGGACAGACAAAACCTTCAAAATCTGTGGAGTAAAACGTAATAGACAGTGTAACAATAGCAGCTTCACTCCTTTCATACGAGCCCAAGTGACTCTCTTGCAATATACTACTACATCCTCCAGCTCCCTGCACATCCTTTCTGTTCAAAAGCAAATGTTCTCTATCACCTGTGACAACCCCATACACAGACGCAGAGTACAGACCTATCATAAATACAATTACTATAAAAGTTAAAGTAACAAATTTCAGCAGATCATGAATTTTAATTTCACTAAGGGGCTAGTGAAACCTTCCCACAGGACCCTTGAGGGAAGTGGCTGTCTGTAGGGGAGCGAGAGAAAGAGAGAATGAGAGAGACTGTGTGTGTGGGGGAGAGGAGGGGTTCTTGCTGTGTACTGAGCTTGTGTTTGGCGGGGGGGGTTTTCTTCCTTTACCTTCCCTCTCCCCCGTCTCCCACGGAGTGAGTGCTGTGGCTGGCAGGTAGAAGCTGTGAGCTTCTAATCAGGGTTTGAAAACTTCAGAAGCCTCTGCCCATTGGTTGAGCCTTAATCTGGGGAGGGGCTATCAGGCAGTCTAGGGCTTTATAAAGGAGTGAGTCAGCAACCAGGGAGCTTGTGAACAGGGACTGCTAACAGGGAGTTTGGAGAGGGAGTTGGGAAGGGGGTGAAATACACTCGCCATCCCTTAACATCTTCTCACTACACTCCTTCCCTTCAAGGAGGCATTTAATAACAACTGAGGAATCTCTCAGTAGGAAGGCAAGTATGGATGGTGATAGCTCTGCTGTTGTTACCTGCACATGCTGTGCCATGTTTGTCTTTCTCCCAGAAGAAAGAAGGGATTTCATATGCACTGAGTGCAAGCTGGTCACCATTTTGGAAGAAAAAATAAGAAGACTGGAGGCCCAAGTATCGACCCTACGTTCCATCAGAGACGATGAAGACTTCCTCGATAGAAGGCAGCATTTAATCCTGCAGGCACAGAAGGCTGAACAGCCAGTCAGGGCAGTACATGAGAAGGAAGAAAACTGGCAGCACGTAACCTCTAGAAGGAGGTGGCAGCCAACTCAGGTATCCCCCATTCCTGTAGAGGTAAGTAACCACTTTCAGGCTCTCTCCACAGGCACTGTGGTGGAGAATGCTTTGGCAAGGACCTCTCAGAGAAGAAATCAGAAGGGAACACCATCTACCGGAAGGCATGGGATGCATAGTCCTAGAGATGAGGGTTCCATGATCACCATCCCTAAAAGAAGACAGGTAGGAGGGAGTCCCCAACCACCACCAAGAGGGACTGAGTTATCCATCTGCCATCTCGAAAAATGTGCTGCTTACTGGGAGCTCGCATTCTGGATGTGCCCAAGAGACTTCCATAAGTGATTAAACCTTCAGATCGCTACCCCTTCCTGCTTCTCTATGTAGGAACTTACAATATGGCCAAGAATGACCTTGAGCGGGTCACAACAGATCATGTGGCGCTGGGAAGAAGGATCAAGGAATTTGAAGCACAAGTGGTGTTCTCGTCCATCCTTCCGGTTGAAGGAAAAGGTCCAGGTAGGGATTGTAGAATTGAGGAAGTAAATGCGTGGTTGCGCTGGTGGTGTCAGTGAGAGGGCTTTGGTTTCTTCGACCATGGGACTCTGTTCCAGGAACAAGGATTGTTAGGAAGAGATGAGATATACCTAACTAAGAGACGAAAGAGCATTTTTGCAGGCAGGCTTGCAAACCTAGTGAGGAGGGCTTTAAATTAGGTTCATTGGAGGACGGTGACCAAAGCCCTGAGGTAAATGAGGAAGCTGGACACCGGGAAGAATCACAAGGAGGAATGGAGGAACAATGGACGACCCCTGATTCGGATGGAGAAGGCAAGGCGACCAACTGGTTATCTAAGGTGTTGGTACACCACTGCAAGAAGCCTGGGAAAAACAGGAAGAATTAGAAGCCATGGCCCAGGTGAAGAACTATGATTTGATTGGAATAATGCAGAGTCGGTGGGATGACTCGCATGATTGGAGCACTGTCATGGAAGGGTATAAACTGTTCAGGAAGAACAGGCGGGGGAGAAAAGGAGGAGGAGTTGAACTGTATGTAAGAGAGCAGTATGATTGCTCGGAGCTCCAGTATTTAGAGGGAGAAAAAACTGTTGAGAGTCTATGGGTTAAATTTAGAGGTGGAAACAACAGAGGTGATGTTGTGGTTGGTGTCTGCTATAAACTGCCGGATGAGGTGGATGAGGTAGACGAAGCTTTCTTTGAAGAACTGAAAAGCTTCCAGACCTCAGGCTCTGGTTCTCATGGGGGACTTTAATCACCCTGACATCTGTTGGGAGACCAATACAGCAGTACACAGACAATCCAGGAAGTTTTTGGAGAATATTGGGGATAACTTCTTGGTATATGTGCTGAAGGAACGACCAGGGACCATGTGCATCTTGACCTGCTTCTCACAAACAGGGAGGAACTAGTAGGGAAGCAGAGGTGGGTGACAACTTGGGCACCAGGGATCATGACATGGTAGATTTCAGGATCCTGACCAAAGGAAGAAAGGAGAGTAGAAAAATACACACTCTGGACTTCAGAAGAGCAGACTTTGACTCCCTCAGAGAACTGATGGGCAGGATTCCCTGGGATGCTTACATGAAGAGGAAAGGAGTCCAGGAGAGCTGGCAGTATTTTAAAGAAGCCTTATTAAAGGCATAGGAAGAAACCATCCCACTGCGCAGCAAGAAAAGCAAATATGGTAGGCGACCGGATTGGTTTACCAGGGACATCCATGGTGAGCTTAAACACAAAAAGGAAGCTTACGAGAAGTGGAAACTTGGACAGATGACTGAGGAGGAGTATAAATATATTGCTCAAGAATGCAGGGGAGTTATCAGAAAGGCAAAAGCGCAATTGGAACTGCAGCTGGCAAGGGATGTGAAGGATAACAAGAAAGATTTCTACAGTCATGTTAGCAATAAGAGGATGATCAGAGAGGGCATGGGACACTTATGGATGAGGAAGGTAATCTAGTGACAGATGTGGGAAAAGCTGAAGTACTCAATGCTTTCTTTGCCTCTGTCTTCACAGACAAGGTCAGCTCCCAGACAAATGCACGAGGCAACACAGTATAGGAAGGAGGTGGACAGCCCTTGGTGGGGAAAGAACAACTTAGGAACTATTTAGAAAAGCTAAACATACACAAATCAATGGGCCCAGATTTAATGCATCCCATGGTACTGAGAGAGTTGGCAAATATCATTGCGGAGCCTTTGGCCATTAGCTTTCAAAACTCGTGGAGATTGGGAGAGATCCCGGAAGATTGGAAAAAGGCAAATGTAGTGTCCATCTTTAAAAAGGGGAAGAAGCACAATCCAGGGAACAACAGACCAGTCAGCCTTACCTCAGTCCCTGGAAAAATCATGGAGGAGATCCTCAAGGAATCCATTTTGAAGCATTTGGAAGAGGGGAAAATGATCAGGAATAGTCAACATGGATTCACGAAGGGCAAGTTGTGCCTGACCAATCTGATTAGCTTCTATGATGAGATAACTGGCTCTGTAGATATGGGAAAGTCAGTGGATGTGATATACCTTGACTTTAGCAAAGCTTTTGATACCGTCTCCCATAATATTCTTGCCAGCAAGTTAAGGGAGTATGGATTGGATAAATGGACTGAAAGATGAACAGAAAGATGGCTAGACTGTCGGGCCCAATGGATAGCGATTAATGGCTTGATGTCAGGTTGGCGGTCGGTTTCTAGCAGAGTGCCCTAAGGATTGGTTCTTGGACCGGTTTTGTTCAGCATCTTTATTAATGACCTGGATGAGGGGATGGATTGCACCCTCAGCAAGTTTGCAGATGACACTAAGGTAGGGGAAGAGGTAGATATGCTTAAGGGCAGGGATAGGTCCAGAGTGACCTGGACAGACTAGAGGATTGGGCCAAAAGAAATCTGATGAGGTTCAACAAGGACAAGTGTAGAGTTCAGTTACAGGCTGGAGACTGAATTGCTAAGTAGCAGTCCAGCAGAAAAGGACCTGGGGATTACAGTGGACGAGAAGCTGGATACAAGTCCATGTGCCCTTGTAGCCAAGAAGGCTAATGGCATATTAGGGTGCATTAGGAGGAGTACTACCAGCAGATCCAGAGAAGTGATTATTCTCCTTTATTCGGCTCTGGTGAGGCCACATCTGGAGTAGTGTGTCCAGTTCTGGGCCCCCCACTATAGAAAGGATGTGGACACATTGGAGAGATTCCAGCGGAGGGCAACCAAAATGATTAGGGGGGTGGAGTGCATGACCTATGAGGAGAGGCTGAGGGATTTGGGTTTGTTTAGTCTGCAGAAGAGAAGTGTGAGGGGGGATTTGATAGCAGCCTTCAACTTCCTGAAGGGACATTCCAAAGAGGCTGGAGAAAGGCTGTTCACAGTAGTGACGGGATGGCAGAACAAGGAGCAATGGTCTCAAGTTTCAGTGGGGGAAGTCTAGGTTGGATATTAGGAAAAACTATTTCACTAGGAGGGTGATGAAGCACTGGAATGGGTTACGTAAGGAGGTGGTGGAATCTCCATCCTTAGAGGTTTTTAAGTCTTGGCTTGACAAAGCCCTGGCTGGGTTGATTTAGTTGGGATTGGTCCTGCCTCGGGCAGGCAGCTGGACTTGATGACCTCCTGAGGTCTCTTCCAGCTCTATGATTCTAGCCCCCCTGCTTGCTATGCTCACCAACCCACCATCTGTCTTCTGCAGCTGGTTCATGGCCTTCCCTCCTACCCGTGCTGCAGCAGCAGGGGGCCTGCCACTAGCCCTTCCTGTGGCCAGATGGGGGCTGGACCATAGGGCCTGCCCCAGGATTGGGGCTGGAGATAGGTCACTGTGGCCAAATGGGGGCTGGGCCCTGATTGGGCTGCGTGTCTGGCCAGAGAGGAAGGGGCAGGGTATCTGTATGGGGGGTGCGGGGGAGAAGGGATAGGTGCAGGCTGGAGGAGGGTCTGGCTGGGGAGAGGGGTCAGGAGCAGGCTGGGGGCAGAGTGTCTGGCTAGGGGGGGAGAGTGCAGGAGCAGGCTGGGAGCAGGGTGTTTTTCCAGGAGAGAGGGTGCAGGAGTGGGCTGAGGTAGGGTGTCTGGGCAGCCCGGGAGAGGAGGGAACCTGTTCCCCTAGGAGATTGCTAGAGCCAGGCAGCAGCTGCACCTGGGCAGGAGAATGGGGGTGGGGGTAGAGGGGTGACAGCTGCTGCACCCTGCAGCAGGCAGCTCTGGGAGATGGGGCTGGCCCACTCTAGGGGCGGTGAATGCAGGGGTGCCTCAGGCCGTGGAGACTCCTTTACTGGGAGAGACTTTTCCCTTTCGGCCACCGCCGGCTGGTGCTGTGATCTCTCAATGCCACTTCCCCCTGTCCACCCTCCCCCCACCGTCTCCCCAACCAGGTCTAGCAAAGAGCAGCAGGGGAGAGAACAGCACTCTGAGCGGCACGCGAGGACAAAAGCCTTTGCGCATGTGGCTGGGCTGGCTGGGGAGATCTCGCGGGGGCCCAACTTAACTTCAGAGGCAAGCTTTGTAGCACATCTCTCTCTGGTGGCTCCCCTCCCCACAGCAGTGCACATGCTTCAGGGCTTTCTCCTCTTCCCCCTCCCCCGGAAGCCAGCTCTGGTGCTCTAATCTTGTGGGGGGAGTCATGAGGCTGGAGTGCCAAGGTGGTGAGGCAGCTGGTGGCGGTAGTTCCTCACTGGGTCTCGGAGTGTCAGGGCCCAGGATGCAGGAGGTGGGGCTGGAGGTGGAGGGGAGCTGGGGGCCAGCGGGGAGCTCAGGGCACCCCCTGAGGTGGGGTTGGGGGAAACCCCAAGCCATGGCCACCACTTCCCCTTCTGACTCTGTGGGGGGGGAAGGAGGAGCAACGCAGAGTGACGTGATTATGTCACTCTGTCATCCTGCAGGGGGGGAAATACACACACACACACACACGGGGGCAGGGGACGGAGAAGGAGAGAAAGCAAAGGAACTCCCATCTTTAAAAAGTTGGGAAAAAACTGTACCAGTTTTGCACTAAGTAAAGTACAAAATTAACATTGAAGTTTACAGAAGCTATTGCAATTAGCCATTTGTTTGATTTTTTAAAATTATTTCTTCCAAATAGTTATAATCAACACAGTGCTGAAAAGCTTTCCAGAGAACTCAATTTATAATGCCTTCATGAAAGTTGAATTTGTTTATCATTTACCTGTTTGGATTTTCCCTTGTCTGCACATTTAGTTTTTTTTTCTTCAGTGACTTTCCAATATAACTGGGGAAAAACAACCAAAGCAAAAAACAAGTTCAGTCTTCTTCACATTTATCTCAAAGCTATTATTAAGCACAATGCATAACACAGAGAGCAGATGATGTTTAAAAGGCTGCTACAAATATATGTAAGCAAAGTAGAGAGGCCGCTGAACACCTCACTCATGGCTGCTGAAGACTGATTATATTTTTTTCTTAAAACAACAACAAATGGTCTAGTAGCACCTTAAAGACTAACAAAACATGTAGATGGTATCATGAGCTTTCGTGGGCAAAACCCACTTTTTCATGATCTGAATAATGTGCAGGGAGCCACTAATATTCATAAGAATCACAAGGTAAAATCACCTATTTTGCAAAGCCAAAAATGAATCCCTTAAAGAATAAAAAATGTTTTTAATTTTTAAAAATGTGCAATTAAAGCAGTTCCAGACATAAAATACCTCCATGCATCGTTACTAGAATGTTTTAAAATTAATTGCCTTCTCACCTTTCAGGTTTTCAATTACAACAACAAAACTACCAGTTACTTTTGTTTCCTGAAGAATATATATGTGCAACATAAACACAAATATATTTACTGTAGTCTATACACTACAGCCACATGAAATATCATTCTATCTATAACATTAGAAAAACGCATCTACCCCAAAAAATTCTGATAATTTTTTTAAAAAGGTGAAGAGGAAATTAAAAATGCATACGTACCTCATTAAGTTTTTCAGCAATATTCACTGAATTTAATGCAAATATCACTTCTCTAGCTCCTACATACAAAACATCTTTGTCGTCACTTAGTAATAAAGTTGAATAGTTAAACACTTCCGGTTCTTGAAAATGGATCAGTTGTACTTCTGTTAAAATAAAACAAACAGTCCTGTGTAAAGAATGAAAATCATGCAAGGACTTTCCCCCCTAAACTATCTGATACAGAAGTTCTTTGACAACTTAAAAGCAGCAAAACTGATCATAGAACCCTATTATATTAAAAATCTTAGGATCATCAAAAAGCTTAATTAAACCATGGATTCAATTAGGAGTTTGCAGCCATATACAATAGCTTTTTTCCTACATTTCAATTTAAATTAATATCTGGGATTTGTGCTGCTGATTTCAGTTTAATTTACATCTGCAATTTCAAAGTACTTCACATTTGTTCCATCTTTATTTCAGATTATGTATATATACGCATGCACACAATGTAAAATATGACATTAACCTTCTGCTTCATTCAAGACTGAACAAACTGGAACAAGATGCATCTTGATAGGGAAAGGTAGTAAATTAGATTTACCCCATGCAACAAACTTGCATCCACAAGGTGTCTTGGGCCACCATCAATACAGAGAACTATTATCATGTATAGTTATACATGCTATACTGTCAGCATGCTGCAAGTGAAATGGATTAGGCTGTAATTCTCTGATCCAAAAGTAAGTGATCAGTTCAACATGGCCAGCCTGTGCAACAAAACACTTGCTAAGGGAGTCAGGAGAAGACACGGGCCACTCCTTTTGCCTTCAGCTTTCTAAATCTCCTCCAGAGACCTGAAGGTTCCTAATCAGCAAAAACTCCTCAGAAGGGAGATGAGAGCTGTCAGGAAGTAGACAAACTATTGAGCCAACTTGTCAGAAAGCTGGAATTTTCTCAGAAAACTCTGCTGCACAGAAGCCTAATTGAGGTGCCTGCTGCTTGGGAGGCAGATAAAACTGCAGATATTTCAGAGATAGGGCATTCCTTATCTCCCAGTGGCTGACAGGCCTGGTCCACACAGAAGATGCAAACAGCTAAAGGAGCACTGTAATGGATTTGTGGGTTAGAACTAGTTCCAATTTTACAATAAATGATTTTTGCTTCACACCCAAAATGGTTTGTGAAACTGGATCATACAGGCAGTCCCCGACTTACGCGGATCCGACTTATGTCGGATCCGCACTTACGAACGGGGCTTTTCTCGCCCTGGAGCTCGCCTGTGCGGCTTTGCTCGGGTCTCCCTGCTGTGCTGGGGGGGATTCCTCCCCACCCCCCAGCACAGCAGGGAGAACCGGAGCAGCTTTTCTCGCCCCGGAGGACGCGGTGGCGGGACCGCTGCGCTCTGGGCGGTCTCGCCGCCCGCGAGCTCCGGGGCGAGAAAATCCCCGTTCGTAAGTGCGGATCCGACATAAGTT